TGCCAAGGACCAGCCAAGGTAAGTGCGGACCAACCAAGGATTAGCCAAGAACCAACCAAGATCCAGTAAAGGACCAACCAAGGGCAAACCAAGGACCAGCCGAGGACAAGCGATGGACTAAGCAAGGACCAGCCAAGGAACAACAAAGGATCAGCAATGGACCATCAAAGAAAAGTGGGGTCCAACCAAGGACCAATCAAGGAGCAGTCAAGGGCGAACGAAGGATTAACCAAGGACCAATTAAGGACCAGCCACGGACCATCCAAGGACCAGCCATAGACCAACAAATAACCAGCCAAGGACCAACCAAAGACCAGCCAAGGACGAACCTAGGACCAACCAAGGTCCAGCCAAGGACCAACCAAGGACAAAACAAGGACCATCAAAGAAAAGTGGGGTCCAATCAAGGAGCAGTCAAGGGCCAACCAAGGATTAACCAAGGACCAGCCAAGGACCAATTAAGGACCAGCCATGGACCAACCAAGGACCAGCCAAAGACCAACAAAGAACCAGCCAAGGACCAACCAAAGACCAGCCAAGGACAAGCCAAGGACCAACCAAGGTCCAGCCAAGGACCAACCAAGGACAAACCAAGGACCAGTAAGGACCAACCAAGGGCAAACTAAGGACCAGCCAAGGACAAGCGATGATCTGGCCAAGGTCCAACCAAGGACTAACCAAGGATAAATCAAGGAGAAGCCAAGGACCAATACAGGAGAAACCAAGTGCTTGCTAAGGACCAACCAAGGATCAGTAGAGGACCAGCGAAGGACTAGCCAAGGTAAGTGGGGACCAACCAAAAACTAGCCAAGAAGCAACCAAGGACCAACCATAGACAAATCAAGGGCAAACCAAGGACAAGCGATGGACTAGCCAAGGTCCAGCCATGGACCAACCAAGGATCAGTGATGGACTTGCCAAGGACCATCCAAGGACCAACAGAGGAACAGCCATGGACCATTAAAGAAAAGTGGTGTCCAACCAAGGACCAATCATGGAGCAGTCAAGTACCAACCAAGGACCAATTAAGGAGCAGTCATGGATCAACAAAGAACCAACCAAGGACCAGCAGAAAACCAACCTAGGATCAACCAAGATCCAGCCAAGGACCAACCAAGGTAAGAGGGGACCAACCAAGGACTAGCCAAGGACCAGCCAATGACCAACCAAGAGCAACCTAAAGACCAGCCAAGGACCAGCTAAGGACCAACCAAGGATCAATCAAGGAGCAGCCAAGGACCAAAAAAGGATAAACCAAGTGCTTCCTAAGGACCAACCAAGGACCTGCCAAGGTAAGTGGGGATCAATCAAGGACTAGCCAAGAACCAACAAAGATCCAGTCAAGGACCAACCAAGGGCAAACCTAGGATCAGCCAAGGACAAGTGATGGACTATGCAAGGACCGGCCAAGGAACAACCGAGGAACAGCCATGGATCATCAAAAAAGTGGGGTCCAACCAAGGACCAGTCAAAGAGCAGTCAAGGGCCAACCAAGGACCAGCCAAGGACCAATTAAGGAACAGCCATGGACCAACCAAGGACCAGCCATGGATCAACAATGAACCAGCCAAGGACCAACCTAGGACCAATCAAGGTCCAGCCAAGGACCAACCAAGGAGAAACCAAGTGCTTGCTAAGGACCAACCAATAATCAGCAGAGGACCAGCCAACGTAAGTCGGGACAAA